GCCCAGTTCATTAAGACCAGTCATCCGGATAGCGCCTCGCGAGTAAACAAAGCTGGAGGTGGCTTTGCCTTTATATGTGCCCTTGCAGCCTTCTATGCGGGTGCATCTGGATTGATGGTCCCGGAAACAACATTCGTTCGACTCCCCTTGGGAATAGTATCACGACGCGAAGAGGTTGTGTCTACGATATAATTATGCGTCGCTGGATAGCCTCTGGTGGACTGAGTCTTTCCTTTCCGAGAATTGCATCATCTCCTCACTTTCGTATCGGTTCGACCGCTACTATCATGACCTTGGCAATGGTTGGAACTGGAACTTTTGAATTCAATCTGTTAAGTTTGTCTCAAAGAAACTGTTACTTGCCTCCATCTAAATTTCTTGACTTTGTCTTCAGGGTTGGATACTGACTTTTGAGGCATCCCCTGCTCCTCCTTTTTCAGCCTTTTGAATGTATTTATCCACTTACCCTTTAACTAAAGGTAAACAATAATACCCCTTCTGTAGTCTTTATACCCATGTTTCGCAGGCGTCTGTTTCTTACGCGTGTTTCTTTTGCGTGTAAATTACTTTCCAAGTTCAACCCTCTCGTGGACATAAATTTTATATGTTCCTCAAACCGCCCGAATTGAACACATCAAAAACACATATTATAGAACTGATGGAAAATGGTTCTATGATTGTAATACTGTAAGCAGACTATGCCGTATTATTTGGTTTAGGTCTCAGACTTTGTAGGATTTAGAATTTTGAGCGTAGGAACGAAATTGAGTTCAACTTCTGCTGGATCCCAAACTACCGTTACGTGTTGGCCAGACCGGCGAGCTGGATCAAAACCAGAGTGCTGATGGCGTTTTTCGGCCCAGTGTTCTAATAGGCCTTGCTCCCAACAAATATTGGAGAGAACCAGAGGCGCAGCGTCTAGTATAATCAACGGATAGCACAAGAGTCCGATCGCAGACAAAGGGTCAATATATATGATAAGGCCAACGAGGAGCTTTTGAGAACCTTTCGGGGCTGGGGTGATTCAAAATGAAGGGGACAAAATGTTCTGTAAAGAACTCTTTTCTTATATTATGACTATCTGAATACCCAAACTCATGAAATATTCCCTACGAAAGCTATCAAACCCTTTTGACCGTGGCCTTCCCAGACATAAAATTATAATATCAGGTGCCAAGTACAGGGTCCATTTTGAGAGGAGGAAATATATGAGCCGCTCATAGATAGTGCTCATGTAACCAACTGGGTTTTATCTTGATGATAAAGGCAGCTTATTGTACGGAGGTCGGTCTCAAAAGTTTCATTCAGCCAAGACACTATCTACACCACTAAATAACTAGCTGAAATACAGCAAACACTCATATGAGTATAAAACTACTCCTCATTTTAAATAGAGGGGGATCCTGCATTAAGAAATGGGTTAAACTTTTCTCTCTATTATCTGTTAAATATGGCTCCTAATACTGATATATCAACTCGCGCTCTAGTTGTTGCACTTAAATCCCCCTTTGGTGATAAAATCACAAAAGAGATTAGTAATATCACTAATCTCCCTGTTCAAACAATCAATTGCATATATAAAACTGCTCAAGAATGCAGTTTCAATCCAGAGCTTCCCTATCTTATTATCTGTGATGAATGAGTAAAAGATGCACTGTGCTCAGGGTGACCTGGGAAGCAGGCCCCTATTCATGAGCAAGTCCTTATGAAGGTACACTGAGATTGATATGAAAGAGAGTGATCTTGTGCTGATATTGCTGGTGAACTCAGCCAAGAGGAAATGGAAATATCTCCAAGCACAATATGGTGTATCCTGAAAAAAGCAGGTCTTCACAAGATCAAGCTGACATGGAAACCAGGTCTTACAAAGAAAATGAGACAGGAATGACTTCAGTGGTGTCTTGAGCATGCACACTGGACCTTAGAGGACTGAAAAAATATAATATGATCAGATGAGACATCTGTTGTTCTTCTTCACCGCCAGGGAGGGTATTGAATTTGGTGTACACTGCAGGAACAATTCAATTGAAGCTGTATTCACAAGTGATGGAAGGGATCCTCTGAAATCATGTTTTGGAGGTGCTTTTCATATGATAAAAAAGGTCCATGTCATTGCTGGGGCCCTGAAACTGCCACTGAAAAAAAAAAGAGTCAGAAAGAAATATTACAGCAATGAATATGAAAATAGAGTCAATTATGAAGGAGCAGTGGCAGTTGAATACTGGTACAGCAAGACTCAGTCTTCACCAATTACCAGGTGCCAAACTGACATGGAGATGGAATGTAAAGAATGGCAAGCTTTCTCACAGTAAGGGTAAAGGAATTGATTGGTATTGATATCAGTGAAAAATCCTTATACCAAAGCTACTACCCTTTGCAAAAGAGTGTGCAAAATCTCATCCAAATACTCTTGTACAAGAGGATAGGGCACCTGCTCATAGCCATTACATTCAGCAACATATCTATAAAGCTCAGGATGTTCAGCAGCTACTCTGGGGTGCAAACTCACCTGATTTGAATGCAATTGAAGCTGCATGGCCATGGATGAAGTGAAAAACAACTCAGAAGAGGGCTCCAAAGACTTGAAAAGAGGCAATTGAGGCATGGGAGCAGGCATGGAAAGAGCTGCCACAGTCAAATATCCAGACATGGATTGAGAGGATTCCTGTCCATGTTCAGAAGATTATACAGCTTGAAGGTGGTAATGAATATAAAGAGGGACGGATCTAGTAGGTAGATAGATAAGAAAATAGGCAGGCAAGTAGGTAGGCAGATTATTGGTAGATTTGTAGACAGGGTTAAGCTATGAGATAGATTAGCAAGAAACCAAAGAAAATGATAGATGGGATATTACATATGAATTACAGTATAAAATCCTAGCGGCAGTTGTGGCGTTTTTAGTGCTTGAACGAAACTTTTGAAACCGACCTCCGTAGAAATATGGTAGATGACTTACTCGAGTATGTTAAGGTTAATAATAGAAAGGCTTGACGAATGACCAACACTTGGTATTTCCTCATGAAAGCATGAAAGTTGAATGCATCTGGACAGTGTTGGAAAAGTCCACCAACAATTGCTAAATCACGAACTTCGGGGAAAATAAACAAGAGACTAAAACTCCATCCAATTAACCGTTATATATGCCTCAAGTGAACCTCGTCAGGGTATATCTCGCCTAAAAAAAAAGAAAAAAGAGTAAAAGCATCGGAACACATATCTAGAACATGTGCTATGTACTGTACAATAAAGAAGTGTAACACAAATGCCTGCATTGGCTATTCCAACAGAGCAGCTGTGCGCTCGAGTTGGCTGTTGAAGTGTCTGATTTGATTCAAGATACCGCCATGGGATCCTGATGCGGCGGAACTGACATCCTGCGCGACTGTGCGGAGAAGAAAATCAAGGCCAACAGCCGGGTCCACGATTTGCTCGTCGTCAAATTTGCCACCACGGTCGATCGCAAGTTGGAGGTCGTACAGGGAATTATTAAGATTGTCATGCTCCTTATTGAACGGCGGTTAGCTAAAGAAAACCTCTCTACTCAATCCCGCAGAAAAAGAAAACGAGGAAGAAAAGGAACAGGTGCATACCGTTTTTATCCTTTCATCCTCTATACACTTCCTCCGTACCTCGTCGATACGCAGCGCAACTTTGCCCCTCTCTTTCCGCAACTCCACTAAACGATTCCTAAGATAAGCCATATCCTTCTTCTGCTTCTTGAGGCGAGCGGATAGCACGAAGTTGCTGTCCAGAAGTTCACTCATTTCAAAAAGTCGCTGCTCAAGCTCAATGCCAAACAGTTCAACTGCCTTTCGCTTACGCATCCACTCCGCTCGCCGCGGCGCATTCGACTCCTGCGCGATGCCGTTTTCAAGGGTTGAGATTGTCTTTTCGAGAATTTCACGGGAGATCTGGCCCAGGACGTCTGCTGGATTGACTTCGCTACGACTTGGATATTTTTGACCAACAGATTGGTCGTCCGGTTGAGTAGCTTCAATTGAAGGATCTTCTACATCGCCTGAAATACACTGGAGAGCTGAAAGACTTGCGAAACGGTGGACGATAATAGGAACGGTTTCTCCGCGAGATATTGGCTCACCATCGGCCCCCGTGTTCTCTTCCTCCGCGGGCCTCCATATTTTGCGTTGTTTCTTCTTGGATGGTCTCGACTGGGCGCGGTCCACATCTGCATTTTCTTCCGCATCTTCGTGATCTTCTTGTTGCTGTGACTGCTGGCGGGGGCCTTTGGCTGAACGACCGGGTATTCGTTTTGATTTTGTCGTTGGTTGGGGTGAAGTGGAGTGTTCGTGTGAATGCTCCTCGTTTCCTCTATTTTCAACTTCGTTTCCTCTCTCTGCATGGTTCACATTTAGTTCTTCTGAGCCATGATTATGCTCCTCAATTTGTTGCTCTTCAGTTTCATTGTGAAAAAGAGGAACGCGACGCTCGTGTTTAGTGGGCATTTTTGGAATATATTTCCTCTTTTTCGGCTTGCGTTTTGGTGGCCTAGTAAACCCTTCAGTCGGTTCATCCACATCTCTTGATTCCACATCATTGTTTTGTAGCTCTGTCTCCGGTTCCTGTTCGGGTTCGTGTGCAGGTGCATGTTCGAGCCCTTGCTCTGATTCTTGCTCTATATCTGGCCCTGATCCTGATACAAGTGGAGGTTCAGGTTCAGGTTCAGGCTCTTGCAGGGTCTCTTGTCTTAGCTGGCTAACAGTAACGGAGGATCTCTTGGGCTTCTTGGGACCCTGAACAACCGATTTTCTTTTCTTTCGTTTACGTTGAGGGCTTGGCTTAAAGGGTTGGGATCTCCCTTCTTGTAATACACTGGTAGTAAGACCGGAGGGCTTTCGAGTTAGTGTTTCGACCTCGTCCTCTAAAGCCCGATGAGATTCATGTTTTCCCGCATCGCGTTGGGCTGAAGGCTCACGAGTTCCGTTCCCAGATTCCCCTTGACCAGGTTCTCGCGGAACTGTATCCGGTCTGAGTGGTACATCGGGCACAGGTTGCGCGGAGGTTCCTGTCGTTGTAATACCATTTCCATGTACACTCATCCTACTCAGCACCGCATCCTCCGAAATTGGCTCAAATGCTGCAAGTCGCCTTCTTTTATTCTCTCTTCCTTGATCTGGTTCATCATCCGGCGGGATATCAAATACCGATGGTTTACGTGGGCTGGAGTTTCTCACGCTACCCTGGATGTTTCTGCTAGAAGACGGATTTTGTGATCTGGTGGGGGTTCGTCGGGTTAAATGCGGAGAAGTCAGACGCCTTTGATTTGGTGTTGTACTCATGCGTGAGGAGGATCTTTTCGGAGGTGAGATGTTGGGCTCTGGCAGTGCTGTTGAAGCTGGCGGGGTTGGGCGTTGTAGTTTGGGAGTACTGAACGAGAAACCAAAACCAAAGTCGACATCTTTAGCTATGCGATTCCTAGACACCCAATTGATGTTCTATTAGCTTCTGGGTTTCTTTTCTTTTCTTTTTCATTTTCGTTTGGCAATGGTAAAGGCGTAAATTAAGAGAGCATACCCGGCTCCACGCTGGCGCATCAACCGCCGTTCTTCCCGATCTGTTCAATCCCCAAGTTAGCATTTGATGCTATCCATCTAAGGGGTAGCTAATTCTAATCGTACTTGAAGCCATCACTGCATTTGGGGCTCCCTTGAGTCCCTTGTTGAGCAAGGTGTCAATACGCGATGGTGTTTCGACGCGACGAAGAGCATAATGTTGGGCATGACCGCCCGGTAGCCGCACCACCTCACGTGATGTACGCGTATATCAGTTAGCTGGCCAGTCCTCCCACCAATGGAAGACCAACCATCCCACAGATAATCCATCGATGTTATCAATGTCATGTGACGTAGGGAAAAGTAGAAGAATTTGCCGTTATCGGAGCCAAAAAAGACTTCTCAGAGTGGTCCAAAAATAAATGATAGAGAGACGCTCTGGATATCTACTGGATATATCATTGTGAGAAGAAAGTTGTCCCCGAAAAAGAACATACTACCTTACCATTGAATTGCTTCGGATGCTAAACAGTCAGTTGGAAGGTGAAATAACCATATAACTACATAACTCCAACTGCTGGATACTAAAAACTCTCCGCCTTTCGTGATGGGTTGGTTTTGGGGCAACTCGGTTGAGAGTGATCCCACCAAGAACCTTGACCCCTCTCTAAAAGACTTCCTGAAGCAAGAAACTCCTGCAGGATATAACCTTACGACCGTCCAACCTCAAGAAGAAAAGAAACCAAGCTATCCCCAACCTGCGGTCGCCAATGAATGCACCATGCCTTCCGATAAACCATCCGTTCCATCCGCTTCTCTTTTCCCCGATGGCCGCTATGCACACCTCTGGAAGGATTATAAATCCGTTGAGGTTCTGGAGGGATCCAGTATGTCACCAGCAGAAAGGGTGATTGATCAATCTAAGAAGCGGAAAGAGGCTTTGAACGTGGCGGCGTTGGAGAATTGCGCGGAAGAACAGTTGAATTTGTCAATGTGTTTCAAATCGGGGACAGTAAAAGAACGAGCAACCATGTGCAGTGAGAAGAATTCCAAATTCTCAAGATGTTATACTATGCAGATTGTATGTTCTTCCTTTGGTGGGTTTTTGGGATCTCAGAAAACTGTCAGATTTACATATGTTATTTACAATACTGATGGCTTTTCGACCACTACTAGAAATTCCTTCAAGCCCTAGGGTATGCGTCTTCTTTCGAATATGATTCGGATGAAGAAGAACGTATCCAGATGCATGCGGATAAACTATTTCACCAGATGCTAGACTATGAACATCGCGTGAAGGAAGCCAAATCTGCTGGCCTGGAACCGCCACCACCGCAATCCCTCTTCAAACCAAATATCCAATCTATATCTCAATCTGCAGACCCTACCACCAACACAACAATAACAACAACACCGGAAGTTGCCTCCAAGTCGACTAACTCAGATCGTGAAATCCCAGGTGGCGAGAAGATCCCCGGCAACACTAAATTCTCAAAGCCACTCAAAGATATGACACCGCATGAAAGGGAGCTCGAGTTGCAGGTATTACATCAAAAGAGGGCTCAGCAGGGGATATATATGCAAGAGGTTGGGGGAGTTCTGAAGGCTGAGAATTCAGCCCGTGTTAAGCGGCGAGAGAAGCTTAGTGGGTGGTTTGGCGACACGATTGCAAAATATCTTGCTTGATGCGGCTTAAATAAGAGAGCGAATCTTTATAATAAGCGTCTCTTTGAAGGATAAATGCCACACCAATGAATGAGTATATCCTTCCATGTGTGGAGTGTTGAAATCAGGAGTCACATCCAATTTGCTTCTCCAAATGGAGACAGGATTGGCTGTTGTATGGTTCACGATTGGGTACCTCTTGATAGTCATTTTATTTACCTTTCAGCCACCCAGTAGATTGGACTGATTCTAGCATATTTATCTGTTGCATCAGATGTATAATTATTTTAACCGCAAATTTATCACCTAATTACAAACCGATTTGTGTATATCTTAAAAACAAACACACACAAAAAAAAGGAAAGAAAAATTCAATTGAGGCGTTGTGCTCTCAAGATTTCGGCTCTGACTCGGATACTTAAAATACTTCCCATGGGACAAAGACACCTGCAGCTGGTTGAACGGATCCGCCAATCTTTCGGCCTCATTTGACATTCGGCTTGACAAATCGATTGGGCGCTTTGGGGCCTATCATCATTTATGAGAAGGTAAAAGGCAGGTGGTCTTTGATAGATCATGCATAGCTGGTTGATAACACAATAAAGATATCAAATGTAACCCGCCTAGCTAGGCCGGCGGATTCTCGATATGAAAACTGGATGTTGACCTATGGGGGGGTGATCCACTAAATACTTAGTCCACTCCGCGGAATGAGGGAAAGGAACGAACGGCTTACGTACTCCGTAGCATGCGACTGGCATTAAGTGGATGGTGTATGAAGTCGAAGTCAAAAGTAATGCAAGTCAGGTCACCTTTAGGGCTGGTAAGAATCGACAGGAGAAGATGATCTATGTCATAGACTGGAGAAAATGACGCGAGAAACGAGTTGATATCCATGGACGAGAAACTTACAGTTGGGTAGTTATGTGGTTCTGAACTAGACAACAAAGGGCATAAATTAGACAGAGGAACTTATCAGACAAATGGTATGTTACTTTCAAAAAAAAAAATAAAAATAAAAATTAAAATTAAAATAATAAAAATAAAAAAAAGTGGTTAATCATAGTTTGATTTAAACATGTCAGAAAGAGAAGAATCAATTTTTTGTGGATTGATATGTAAATAACTAGTTAGGTAACTATGCATAGGCTAAACTAGATCTGTGAATAATTCGTTTGTTTGAAGCAAATAACGAAACACCTGACTTTGACGGTCAACTTCAACTCTCACCTCTTACGCTATGTCAACCGCCACCCGATGTCCACTCCGCTTCCATTAACTGCTCTATTCTATACGCACCCTCTACACGCCTATTGTAATTCTACCTCTGCTGTCTTACGCCCTATTTCCTTCTCCCGCTCTACTACCACCTGCTCCTACTCTTACCCAAGACTATCACAATTTGTGCCTCCGGCAATAGCTAGCTATCCCCATTTTTGACCTCCATCCATCGATGCAGACAGGCATTTCGGGCCACCTTTACTAGCATTGATATTAGCAGCGGCAGCAGTGTTTAAAGACGTGGGGAGTCTATCCTGTCGGCGTCGACGCTGTACTCGAGCTCCTCCTGTTCTAATCATGAAGGCTACTCCTTTGCTTATATCCTGGCACGACGACAACGCCCCTATCTACTCTACACATTTCGATCCCCATGGCAAAGGGCGACTGGTCACAGCGGGGAAGTAAGTAAAGTTCCATATTGTCTTAATCGGATTGCCATACAAAGATATTTGCTAAAGTTCAATGCACAATCTTATAGTGATAACAATGTTCGAGTATAAGATTCCTCACGCCGCCCTCTTGTCTCCCCTCAAATACATGTGTTCTAACTAATATATATCAAAGCTATGGAAAGTTGAAGCCAACGGCGAAGAGCGGAAAGTCACATACCTTTCCACCCTCATAAAACACACACAGGCTGTTAATGTTGTTCGGTTTAGTCCTAAAGGTTCCGTCCCGTCCCTTTCACATTGCAACCATTAGTGCTGATAATGGCTACGAAGGTGAGATGCTAGCATCCGCTGGGGACGATGGAAATGTCCTGCTTTGGGTCCCTTCAGAATTGCAATCACATGGAGGTCTGGGAGAAGATAGATCGGATGATAAAGAAACGTGGAGGGTGAAACACATGTGCAGATCTTCCGGCGCAGAAATATATGACCTGGCTTGGTCTCCAGACGGAGTCTTTTTTATAACGGGTAGTATGGACAATATTGCCCGAATATATAACGCCCAAACAGGTAGGATCTCTCATTGTCTGTCGGGGACTGCCGGGAATTAATCATTGACTTGAACACGATGATATAAGGCCAAATGGTTCGCCAAATCGCAGAACATTCACACTACGTCCAGGGAGTTGCCTGGGATCCACTTAATGAATTTGTCGCGACGCAGTCGTCAGATCGATCAGTGCATATTTATACACTGAAAACTAAGGACGGCCAGTTCACATTGACATCCCACGGAAAATTTGTCAAAATGGATCTCCCCGCACGGCGAATATCGTCCCATAGCCCTGCACCTCCTGATATCGCCCTCAGAACACAGTCTTTGACCACCAATTCTTTAGCCATATCTTCGCCCGGCCCATCGACACCGGGAACACCAATGACCACTGTCTTACCTATGGATCCTCCCCCGGTGTCCCGTAGTCGTCGTTCCTCTTTTGGCTCTACTCCATCAATGCGGCGATCAGCGTCACCTGCACCCTCAATGCCACTTCCCGCCGTGAAGCCATTGGAGGCATCCTCCCCAATCCTTTTCGGTGGCATCGGGGTGAAAAACGCCAGCATCTATGCGAATGAAACATTCGCTTCTTTTTTCAGACGATTGACATTTGCACCAGACGGGAGCTTACTTTTTACGCCAGCTGGACAATATAAAGCTTCTCAAGGGAATCAGGGCGATCCTTCAAAACCCACTGAGGAGGTGATTAATACTGTATATATTTATACCCGTGCCGGCTTCAATAAACCCCCAATCGCACACCTACCAGGCCAAAAGAAGCCGTCAGTTGCAGTGAGATGCTCTCCGATTTTCTATACATTACGGCAGGGAACGAAACCTACCAGACATATCACGCTTGACACTTCATCTGGTGAGGAGGCATTTCCGTCCTTGCCAGATGCCGCAGTTTCTACAAATACCCCAACAAGCAACCCGTTAATGGAACCCCCGCCTTCACCTAACACATCTACATCAGACACTTCTCATCCTCTCGCTTCACCCAAGACTATTGAAGAAAATGGCACAGCACAAGAGCCCAACTCTGCGTTCGCGCTGCCATATCGGATAGTTTACGCTGTTGCAACACAGGATGCAGTTCTGGTTTATGACACCCAACAGCAAACACCACTATGTGTCGTGAGCAATCTACACTATGCTACATTTACTGATTTATCTTGGTAAGCAATTAGAGGTCTCCATTTCTCTGGGACTCATTTCAAATACTAACAATCCAATCAGGTCCAT